TAGGTAAGTTTTCTTGACTCGTTAGCTTGAATTTTATTGAGACGGTGATGTTCATCGCATGTCGGACGAAATCTTAGCACCCTTTCACTAGAATCGAAGTAAGTAAAGCCAATCGACAGCTGGTCAAGAGGAATCGGCCGTCGTCTTCTGGTGGAACCGACCTTTGAATCTCTTCACGCAACACTTTCACTCGAAATGGAAGTAAGCTTAACAATAAAAGTTACTTGACCTTGTTTTCTCTACTGGTCATATTGGCAGGAAGACCTACAGGAATGCATCTTGCTCGGAGTCCACAGCATACATGATCGTTTCCATAGTTGGATCGTGAACTCGACACGTTCCCATACATTTCGACGGCCTCGTAAAAGTTGCGTTCCTCAACGTCTTCTTGCCAATATGGAACGGATCAAGTTGCGAAAACTTGGTTAAACAACTTCTATACAACGAAAGGAGACCATGAACATGCAAAAGACCAAACTGTCCTGAAGTTCATACTTTAGAAAGATATATCATTCATTTTTGTGCTAGGACGTCGTCTTCACGACCCATTTTTTCTTGGCATTTTTGGTCAAGGCCCATTTGACCGACTGAGAAGTGATGATCTTACGCATTCTAACCATAGCCCTGGCTACTCTGGTCGTTAGGGCTGGTGTTAGAAGCGGTGACAAATTGGCTGTGACATCTGCTCTCATGACAGGAGACGTGAGGTGTATTTGATATGTGCTGACCCTATTAAATTTAAGGTGATGTAGGACTGGTTGTTGAATTTTCCCACACAAAGATGAGTAAACCTCATGCCTTGCTTTCCCAAAAGGTGTTCTCATTCCGGTTTAAGTGGGGCGCCGTTTCAATCTTGTCCAAACTGGTCTCCTTAGCGACCCCAGCGGGACTCGAACCACGACTCAGCAGCGTATAATCTCGACATATTGCCACGAGTGCAGATGTAAATTTCAATAAGGACCACATTACACTCTGGGATGGGATTGCCGATGAAGCAAAGCTCTAGTTGCTATGGTAATCGACTAGACTCGAAAGCAACTGGACATGAAAAAGAATGGTCTCAAGCTAGTAGGTTTGCTGACTATGGTACGTCAGCGGCTAAAAGAAAGATAAAAGAGGCCATTGAAATTAATAGCTTGGGAAATACGTTGAATGTGACATCGTCGAAACCATAAAGCATTATTCACACAAAATTCACCTAAAATACGCGAAACCAAGAAAGGTGGCCAGTTGAGATCCTACTTTCTTCTTATGCCTCACCTTGCGATCTTCGCGAGGCCTTGCGTGATTTGGTTGGCTGTTTCATGCTTGTCCTGCATGCATGTAAGCGGGCCAAAGTGATACAGAAATGGGAGCGGATGTGGTCTCAACTTTAGTATGTGCAAATAAACTAGCCTATGATTGTGTAAGCCTGAGTCTTATATGCGAAGAAAAGTTGGGTTTGGAAGAATCTCTCGTTTCATTATTGTTGAGCTGACTTCCATTTCGAGTGGAAGTGTTGGGTGAAGAGATTCGAAGGTCGCTTCCACCAGAAGACGACGGCCGA